CTTGTGCCACGAGATCTCGTCACACCCCTAATAGATATGGATAGTATAATTCAATTTAGTTTATATAATATATAATACGATTAATTAAAATAAATATACTGTGTGTGTGTGTGTGTGTGTGTGTGTGTGTATGTATGTAAAATACATTTTTGAAATAAAACTCCAAAACAAACTTATGTAAAGCTGGTATTTTTATCATACATCAACATTTTTTTAACAAGAGTATAATTCTAGTTGTAATTGTACTTTTATACAATTAAAGACTCATTAAAATCACAATCATTGATATGTTTTGCATATTTACATATGTATAACCCAGGATAACATTGGGTTACAATTTACAGTCTCTCTTTTCAAGGAAAAGAGAAAAATATAACGGTTAACTCTTTTTGCATGCAAATTTTTGTGCAATCGATTGCTGTTTAGAATGAGAGTGTCTGCCTCACAAACAATGGCTCACAACTGTGACAAATTATAGCCTACTGGCTAAAAAAAGACAAACTATTCAATATATCATGTCCCAACTTCATGTATTAATAGGAAACACAACAAAGGAGGAAAGAAAACTGCATTTGTTGAACCACTATATTATAAATACAAAAGAAAAGAAAAGAAAAGAAAAGAAAAGAAAAGAAAAGAAAAGAAAAGAAAAGAGGGCACACATCACATCACTCTGGTACCTACTGGTGTGGCCCCTGGCAGCAGCTACAATATAAAACATATGGAGAGACTGAAACCATCTGTGATTTTATGCATCTTTGCATTCCCAAGAAAGGAGTGAAGCAACATTTTGAAAATGTCCTGGCACTTTTGATGAGAACATCTCACCTCTTCTATGTCATTGTCCAGTGCGATGATGCCCAGCGGGGCCGTGAGGTTGGAGCTCCCTGAGATGGTGGTGCCAACTGAGGCAGACTCACTGATGAAGCCCTGGTACGAGGAACGCTGGAAATATGGCGCCTGGTTGTTCTCATCCAGAATTTCAATCTGCAGGTCAGCGTATGCAGGAAGAGGGTGACCGTTATCCTGCTCGGCCTGTTCACGAACAAACAAACTTTTAAAATTCTCTAAAAAGAAAAGCTTAAGGTTGTCCTATGGTTGACAGTTGCCTGACACTCTTTAATTTACAAACAAACTATAATCTGCTGTATTTCTATTCAATCATCATGATGACAGTACAATGGTAATGAATTATTAACATATTCAAATAACATTGTATTCACATGGCATTCCTTTAAGTAAAATGACATAAAAATTACATTACCAAGCTACAATATCCAACATGGTACATAAGAAGAAAAAAAATATTATGGTAAATGGTAAATAAAAGTATCATTGAGATCATTTTTATTAATATTTTGAGGTTTTAGTTTATTTTTCATATATTTTATTTTATTTCACTTAAAGTTTATTTTAAGAAAAATGTTTATGGTTTTAGTTTAAGATTTAATGTAAATGTATATAAAATATAAATGTGCAAACTTTATTTATATTTTATTAAAATATATAAAATCTTTTTATTTTTCAGTGTAGTTAAACTAGTGCAAATAAATTGTAGTAATGTCTAAAGTATTGTAAATAATGCCAATCAAGTAAAACGTTTTTTTTTTTCTATTAAATTCAAATTCATCAAAGGATTTTAATTTATCTTCACTCATTTCTAATTAGTCCAGCAGTTAAAATTCATGGACCCAAAATGGCTCAAACTGATCTTTGTTTATTAAAGAGGATACATCTCCCTGAATATTTTAATTTCAATTATGAGCCCCGTCTATCACTGATTTCATTAAGAAGCCATTGAAGACTGCAGCTCAGTAACTCAATAGCCACTTCACACATTTGAAACATGCACACATACGCACATCTGACAATGTTGACAGCGGCAATGCTTTGTTTGTTATTTGGGCTCGAATTTCAGCAAGCTTGAAACGAACTGAGAATAGCATATCGTTCTTTCTTATTATGAAACGACAAAATCATAACAGCAAACACAGTCATGCATCGTTTCACAGAGGAAACATTTAAATTACCCCTGCTGTTACACTGTTGTTCCACCCAAATCTATGACAGAGCAGGATCATTTCACACCAGTGCTCAATTCCTTTTTTCAGTTTCTCTCTCTTGCTCTTTCTCTTCCAGCTCAATTCAATTAGAAGATACAGCATGTTTAATGTAATTAAATATACAAAGTTCTATTCCAAAAGCTAGTGAGCTGCCTCGGTGTCTACCACATACAAAGGCTGCATCCTAACTGAAATGGGATCTCAAGTAACACTCTACATAGGCAGAAACTGTGTGGCATACAAATAATGCTCTTTGCACAAAGCTCATGGGAAACCGGAATGATTGATTCATTTCAATGCTAAACTAATGATGTGATGTGATGTGATAACGATATACTATTTTAAAATAGTATATTGTTAACTAGACAGAACTACACTACTGTTCAAAAGTTGGTTGTTGGAAATGTTTTCAAAAAAGTCTCTTATGTTCACCAGCACTCCATTTATTTGATGAAAAATACAGTAAATTGCTGAATATTTTTACCATTTAAAACAACTGTCTTACATTTGAATATATATTTAAGATGTAATTTATTCCTGTGATGCACATTTTCAGCAGTCATTACTTCAGTCTTTAGTGTCATGTGATCCTTCAGAAATGTTGAAAACAATTTTGCTGCTTAATATTGTTGTGAAACCATGATACATTTTCAAAAGAACAGAATTATTTGAAATATAAATCTTTTGAAACATTATAAATGTTGTTACTTTCACTTCTGATCAATTTAATGCATTCCTGCTGAATAAAAGTGCTAAAACTTTTGAACAGTATGTATGTTTAGTCAATCTTTTTTAGTATTGACAAATGCAAAGTTCATCACGAATGCACTGTGAAAGCACATTCTCTATAAAATGATATATGTGATGCTGCCTTGCAATAATTTTTACAGTAATTAATGCTGTGTACCTTTTATGGCATCCTTTGCATCAAGAAAGCAACTACAAAGCTTTAAAATGCTTCCTAAATAGACAGCTCACTAGGTGTTTAAACAAAACCAAAGTGAAAGTGTATACATACAGACTGTGTTCAATTTCGTATACTATTGCTGTAAAATGAAGAGAATATTTCCAGAAATATACTGCAGCTAATACCGGGTGTTATTTTGGTCATAAAGCATTGAGCCAGTACTATTGTAAAAATGATGCTTAAATGTAAGAGCCTCTGGAAACGGTGAGCAGGGTGTTAGATGAACCTCTCTTATCTTTACAGCCATCTGTAGAAGATAACCTGATGATGATATAATCACCTTAATAACGAGATTGAAGCGCTGGTACAGCTCTCTGTCCACAGGCTTCAGCAGCCGCAGCTCAGCTGTGCTCCTGTTGAGCGAAAATAATTCTAGGTACGTAGCAGGTTGACCTGAAACGCAGTACAGAGAGAGACACAAAACTTGTGTTATTATATGATTCATGCTATTATTTATACTAAGCTATTGGATACAAAAAAGGGAATTCCATATGCCCCACCTGAACTTATATAGTCTACTGTAAACCCTAATAACACATTAAAGAACCGAGTTTCTCTTTTAAATGTATGGAAATATTGGTTAAGAGTACAGTTGTGCATCTATTTTTCAACACTTGCAAAATATGTGAATTGAAGTACCTACCAACCAGTATGAAGTACATGATTCCCGGTCTGTCTGAGGGTGGCTGGATGTTTCTGTCCTGGTCGATGGATCGAATGGGAGGTGTCACATTCAGAGGGTTCAGTTTGCTCTGAAAAAAAGAAGACAGGAATAAATGACTAAGGGGGCAAACAAGATTAGAGTGGGCTAAATTAATTCAATATGCAATTTTTAAATCATCTTATATCTATTGTTTCACCCTAGTCTGGACTCAAATGTTTCTCATCAGATTCTTCCAAGACCAAATGATCTGAACTATGCTATCTGCATCACTTCCGCACCAACACATGACTCCAGTCCATCAGTTAAGGGAGTTTTGATTCAAACCATTACTTCTGCCCAAAATACAAGTCAATATTTCATAATAACGCTTCCTCCAGTGAAAAAGTCCATCCCACGACGTCCTCTTACATCCAAACATATTTATTTAGAACTGTTTTGGGCTGTTTTCTTGTGTAAATGATTGATCTGTGCATATTTCTCACTGCATAAAAAAAGAGCTGTATACGGACCAGTAAACTCCTGTACACACCGCAGATTTTCAGACAAATCTGGGAGTATTACTGACCAATTCGGATGTATGTTACTGAAGTATTCTTTAGCGCAACAGCCATTTGTTGCCATGGCAAGTAATCCCCTAAATGAAGGGGGTGTTCACACCTTCGTGGCACTGTGCCCTCCCCTTTTGGTTATTCATGTTAAACTGGATTGGTTGATTTGAAACTAAACCCACCCCTAAACCAGACAGCTTTTGGGCCACTGAGCACACAGACTTTAGTCAAAAGTAATTTCATTGGTAAACTTGTTATTTATCCCACCCAAAACCCTTACAGAAAGTGAATTTATTGGTTACATTTAGAATACATCCCTCCCAAAAACCTTACAGGTGAATGATGTGATTGGTTGCAGACCAGGTGGGCAAATTGATTGTTTGTCTTTATTAGGGGAAAATAGTAAATAGTATCCAAAACATAAAAACAGTCAGAAAACAATTTCAGCATTTAAAAATACAACATCTACTCTGAATTAAAGATTGCAAACAAATGCAGTAAATAACACATGAAATGAAGTGTCCCAGCAGACTCCATTCCTCACTGTAGATCCTGTGTGCAGCCACATCAACATCTTCCTCATCTTACATTGAGCTCAACCATTTCTGTCCTCCGCAGTGCTTTTGTTTCGGTTGACCTTGTCTCCAGCAACTGCAAAACAGTAATGTTGACAATCATCTTTACAGGCTAATAGCCTATTTAAGAAGTTACATCATGTCAATTTCTGAAACTTACTGTTGTCTCTCTGGCTTTTTTTTTTTTTGCCACAACCGTGATTGAGTGTTTCAGCTGGGCCTTTCCGAAGTGAAACTATGAAAACCTCTTCCTCATAGCCTCATCATAATTCCTGCAGCATACCTAAAAGACATAAAATGTGTTTAGTAAAGGAAACTATTTAATTGGATAGGTGAAACAATACAAAAATGGATAATAACACATTGCAACAACCTTCTGAACTTATGTATGTTACCATTTATAATCTCTGAAGATAAGTTGACCCAGTCTTGTGTGTAGGATACTGTAGAAAAGAGGAAACATTATCTGAGAAAAATTACAGTATAAATATAGTTTTGACATTATATATACAGTATATTAGCATTACACAATATAAATAATTAATCTTACCTGGTTTGTGCATTCTGTTGAAGTGGATTCTTCCCAGAACTGTGCAAGCTTACAAATGTTTCAGTCTGTAGATGTTGGTGTCCTCAAGAAGTGACTTGAGATCAGGGGGCTGTTTCATAAAAGACGCTAAGAAAAGTGGGGATTAAAGTCCAAAACCTGACTTGAAATAAGCTAAGAAATCAGTCGGGACTAAAGCGGTTTCATAAACGACCATTTAAGTTCACGCAATCTCACTAATTAGATCCAGGTTCAATGAGTCAGGTTAATTTGATGTGAACGCTTAAGCAGCTCTTAATGTTGATCACGGATCAAATCGATCCAACATGGCAAACAGCGAATATATCTGTGCTGTTTAATGCATTTGAGATGTTGTGTTTTCCTCAGTGCATAACTGACATGTCACAAAGTCACGTAAACATATTCATTTTGCTGTCAGGAGTGGGCGAGGCACATGAGAGCAACGAGCGCTGCTGCGCGCATGCACGCTAAACAGACAGAGATTTAATTTATGCATTTAGCAGACGCTTTTATCCAAAGCGACTTACAGTGCATTCAGGCTATAAATTTTTTACCAGTCAGTTTTACACAATATAAGTAATCAGTCTTACCAGGTTTGTGTATGCTGTTGAAGTGGATTCTTCCCAGAACTGTGCAAGCTTACAAATGTTTCAGTCTGTAGATGTTGGTGTCCTCAAGAAGTGTGACTTGAGATCATGTCAAACACAAAAGTCTTAGCCGGGGGTGGGGTGTGTGTGTGTGTGTGTGTGTGTGTGTGTTTGTGGGAGGGGATAATTTATGAAGAGTTAGATATATTGGAGACCAGTGCTATTTGACACACTTTTTACATAAAATATTTATCAGGGGAGATATCTTTTGAAAGTATTGTTTGTTTATATGTAGTTTATAATTATAATTATATATATATACTCTTTGCTAGTTTTGACTAAACATAACTATTGAGTTCCACTGTTGCCCAGGAAAAGATACACATCATACCTCATAACACACACTGACTTTTGGGGGGCATTAATCACTATTGGTAGAGATACTGCTAGAGAAACCACTTCTCCTGATACACCAGCAAAGGACCAGGTCATAATTTCTGTGAAATAATATGGAAAGAATGAAACTGGGAACATACATAGATATGTTCTCTAATGGCTCTGTCAAAAATAATAAGGCTAAATAAATATAAATAAGATATTTGAGATCTCTCCTAATTCAGATGAGATGTAATTTTTTTCACTGGAGAAAGAAATATTTTGGATTTTTATTATTTTAGTTTTTTCACAAGACATTAATTGATGGACTGGAGTTGTGTGGATTATTGTGAGGTTTTTATCAGCTGTTTGGACTCTCATTCTGACGGCACCCATTCACTGCAGAGGATCCATTGATGAGCAAGTAATGTAATTTTTTTGGGTGAACTATTCCTTTAACTAACCATAAGTAACAATGGGCAACACATTTGTTACAGTATTTATTAATCTTTGTTAATGTTAGTTTAGCTGTTCATTGTTAGTTCCTGTTAGCTCAAGTCCATTCAATTATAGATACAACTTGTGTCTACTTTTACTTCTCCAAATTTCAGGAGAAACATCCGAAACAAAGTTGATACATAAATAAAACACTTTGAGATCTCCATTAAGTCTCAAGCTATGAAAGAGCATCCACTGAGGGTTGTTTTCCTCTGGGCTAAAAGCAAAGCCCTTGGGACACTTGATTGTATTAATCTGTGCTCTACAGATGAGTGTGCATTTCGTGCAGACAAATATGGCCTCTAACGGATATGATAATAAGAAGCATCTCCTTTGGGATGGGTGCTTCATTAAAATGGCAGCGTAAATACAGACGCTCCATGTTAAATATGTGAGCACAGTAAATCAGAATTCTTGCCCACCTGAGACGTTTAAAACTACCCATAATCCCCCCCCTCCAGCAGGCATTAGGCCGATTAATCTGTGCCTAGAGACAGGAAAAAGACTCTCGAACCATATCCCAGCTCTAATTGTGAAATATGTGACCTCATTAATTACCACTATTCCTGCCAAAGGAAATGAGAGAGAATCTATGTTGGGAATGGAACACTAGCATAATGCTTACTGCATACTGTGCAGTACACACTGACTACTGGCCAGTATTGTTTTAAAAATAGTATCTGAAACAGAACACATTATGCATTTATACAGGATGTGTTTACAATAACTTATTAAAATACTACTCTTAAAATCCCTGCAGTACCATGTGTAGCATGTGAATTTTCGGTACTGTATAAGAAGATAGCTGAATGCCACAATTCAATTTAACATGAGAGGTAATGTGACTACAATGTAGCATAACACTTTTAAAATAGTTTCATAGTGCACCCAGCCTGAACTTAGTCAGCTATTTCAAATAGTAGCATGCTATATTGCTGTCACATGACCCCGTTATCATTATGTTAACTTTAGTTAATGATATGAGTTATCATCTCAAAGAAACAAACAAATAAAGATACACCACAGTTCAAATTTGTGGTCAGTACGATTATTATTAATAATAATAATAATAATAGCAGTTAATACTTTTATTCAGTAAGGACACACTAAATTGGTCAGAAGTGACAGTAATTTTAGTAACATTTATAATGTTGCAAAATATTTCTATTTCAAATAAATGCTGTTATTTAGAACTTTCCATTCATCAAAGTTCGTCTTAGGTTTCCACATAAACATTAAGCAGCACAACTGTTTTCAACATTGATAATAATACAAATGTTTCTTGAGCAGCAAATCAGTATATTAAAATAATTTCTGAAGGATCATGAAGACTGGAGTAATGATGCTGAAAATCCAGCTTTGCATCACAGGAATAAATTATATTTTAATATATATATATTAAAATGCAAAACAGTTATTTTAAATTGTAATAATATTTCACAATATTTTTGTTTTTACTGTTATTTTTTGATCAAATAAACGCAGCCTTGATGATAATTTGAAGATATTTGCTTCTTAAAAATCCAATTGAACTTAACTTAGAATCCAATTGAATATATATTTTTTCCCAGTATTTTATGTTTGCACAGAAAATGTGCATATAGATTAGTCATACTATAGTATAGGCCTACACTGTAAAAAAAATTCTGTAATTTTTACAAAATAATTTCGGCAGCTGTGGTTGCCAGAATAATTTTGTAAAAAATACAGAAAACTGTAAACACATTTACGGCCAAAAACTATAATTTACAAACAAGAAAATTTGAATGTAAACCAGAAATATCAACAATGCACACTGCTATTAAAATCTGTTTTGTACCTTTAACATACTGACAACCACCATAATAATGCAGGTGGTAAAAGAGTAAGCCACATGAAGAATCAAAGCTCATCACAAGTAGCTTCGCCACAAGCAGAAGCATATACTAATATATAGA